TCCATCCATCCATCCATCCATCCATCCATCCATCCATCCATCCATCCATCCATCCATCCATCCATCCATCCATCCATCTCAAGTAGCCTAGATCCTTTAATCATCCTGAAGAAACACAATTCTGTTGGAAAGATAAATATTAAAACTATGAACGACCCGCTATCACCTTACAATAGGAGTGTACATCCTTCAACTAAAGCTTTGCTCTGCTACCTCATGATTCAGGTTCACCGTTTGGTCTTTTTAAGCACACCAGTTATCAGTACTAGTAATTCTTTTCAAGCTGAAAAAAAGCCAATCAAGATTTCCTTCACATTTTATTTTCTCAAAATATCCATCTTCGGCTGATTATCCGTCAGGGTCATGGGGGCTGATGCCTATCTCTGGCGGGCAAAAAGGGAGCACCCCCTGTGACCAAAGAGACACAACATGTGCACAAATACACACGTATGGTCAGTTTAGAGACGCCTGTTATTAAGATATTTATACAAACCATGGAAGGTAGCCAGAGTACCCAGAGAGAACCCACACATGCAAGGGGAGAACATGCATTCTCCAGAAAGCAAGGGATGGACTTTTAGCCAAAGCAACAGTTCTTCAGGCTGTGCCACCATGCTGCCCTTATTTAAAGCCATACTTTGAACCAATTGAGACCTCTACTGATTTTGGGTAAAAAAAATAATTTTTTTTTAGATATTTGCTGCAAAAGTTTTTCATTTACAGTGGCATTGGGAATTAAACAAACATAAATGGCATCCTGATTTGTTAAGTTTTAAACGATTGTAGAGGATTTAAACCCCAAATCAGGAAATAATACTCTTGGGTTCTATCTAACTAATAGATTTAAACCGCATTGGTAAAGGTAGACTGGGCAAATTAAGACTCCTTCCTAAGCAGACCAAATAAAACGTAAAAGGTTCTTAATCACAGTTTTAATTCTAACAAGAGCATGCTTATTCAGCCTTTTTAGTTTTATTGTCATACTTAACCCTCTAACACAGAGGTCCTCAAAATTTTTACTTGACTCATGACCCAAAATATTGCATCAGTATACAAATATATATAACAATCAAATATAAAACAATTAACATCTGCAACCAAATTTTTTTTTTTTTTTTCCATTTTAAAGTTTTAAAAATTGTTACGAACTTAACAGAAATATGGATTCTTGTAGGTTATTCTAAGATCCCATACTAGTTAATCCAGAATCACAGCTAAAAGGGTTGGATTTATTTGTCTGGTAAACTTCCAAAAAAGTTAAAAAACAATCCTCTGGACTTTATTTCCAAGTTTGAAGACGTTTCCCTTCCCATCCAGGAAGCTTTTTCAATTCCAATATCAGAATTAACGTTGAGTTGCTTTAAACTGTAGCCCAACAAGACCCTGTTTTTGCTTAGACAACACATGTCTAGCTGTGCAGGACCTATTTCACGATAGGCGGACACGATTTTAATGGCATTGTTTTATATATTTATATTAGAAGCAAACTTTCAGCTGTTGTTTTCATTCCAATCCGATTGGATACTGTAAATCTGTATTCCTAATCAAAAGCAACTGAATAAAAGAAAAAAAATGCACAAACATGTATTCATAAAAGTAATCTTGCTTTTATGTTCTTAAACTTGATTTATTAGTTCTTGTACAATTAAAATGTGTACTGTATGTACATCACAAGTTGATGTTTTATTCCTTTATATTCTTCATTCAATTTTCTATATTTTGGTTATAAAAAAAAAAAAGTAATTTCTCATAGTTAAATTTCAATCCTTTTGGTATTTTTATGTTACCTACTGTAGCTATAAAAGAAGATATTCAAAGTTGGGAGTTTGAACTTATATGGATGTCTCGTGTTTGTCCGTGTTTGGGTGTGGGTGTGTTTGCAGCCGTGCAGGAAGAGAGGCAGCGTGGGAAGGAGCGTGGCGAGAACGAGGTGGAGTCTACCAGCACTTTTAACGAAGACATGCCCGTGGAAAAGATCCTGGATGCTGAGCTGGCCGTGGAGCCCAAAACAGAGACATACAGCGACGGCAGCCCAGGGAACTCGGTAGGCATCCCAAGAGAGAGTCTTTTAATATGAGGGCAAATATAAGAACGTATAAGTGTGAGACCCATCAGTGAATAAAAAATGTGCTGTTGAAAGGAAATAATGAGAATCCCAATCAGTTCATGTTAAAATAAGTTTGAAAAGGAATCTTGGAGCGTTGATATAGGATTTCACAATTAGTTAATCAAAGGTTGGTCCTACAGGTTAAGCAGCTTGTGAGACTAAATCCAATTTAGACCTAATCTGCTCCGAATGCTGATTTTGTTGTTTTGAAATGTGGGAAAAAGTCATCAGATTAAGGAACAGTAGTAAAAATCCTTGCTTTTCATGGTAATTGACTTGTTATTCCAAACTGCAAACATCTATGTATGCTTTCTAGGATTTTTTGTGAGAGATCAACACAGGATAGGTGCAAGGTTGCTAAGATTGAAAAGGTTTCTTAGTATCAACAATGTGAGAGCTGAACTTCACATTGTCTGAAGTCTTCTACAGCCTCTTACAGGTTTTCCCATAAGATTTTACCTTTAATTAGCTTTATCCACTTAACATGAATGATTAAAAGGGTGCAAAAACTTTTACAAGTCAGAGTTTTTTATGGCTTTATTGTGCTAAGGTTTTGTCAACAAGAATCTCAAGTCATGAGGGGAAACTTCTGGTTTACAAAGTACCAAACATAGCCACAGCTGCACTTGCTCTCTGACTGTGGTCACCACGACTTTATGAGTCACCAAAGGGGCTTTTATGCTCGGGTCTTAACTATATCATTTGGGCTTCCTTCCTGTATGTTCCTCTCCAGACCAACGACCCCGTCACCAATATCTGCCAGGCGGCCGACAAGCAGCTCTTCACCTTGGTGGAGTGGGCCAAAAGGATCCCGCATTTCTCCGAACTCCCCCTGGACGACCAGGTCATCCTGCTCCGAGCAGGTAGGCGTGCAAATAGGCTGATGCACACTGAAAGAAAAACACATATAAACTCAGAAAGAGAGGCTTTCTTTTAAAAACACACTTACACACAGTCACTTCCTGTCTATTTCAAACTATTACATTTATTTAAACCAATATAACTGGACTTTTTGTCAAGTCCCACTGGTAGAGTTTGCAGTGCTATCCATACTGCCCCCTGCTGGTGGGAGAGTTGCACACATGCCAGTTATAAAGGCAGTCAATGATAAGAGACGAGACAAAATCAACCAATTATACTGACCATACAAAATATTAATATGCTTTATTTTTTCTGTTCAGGCTGGAATGAGCTGCTCATTGCTTCTTTCTCCCATCGCTCGGTCACAGTTAAAGACGGCATCCTGTTGGCGACAGGTCTACACGTCCACAGAAGTAGCGCCCACAGTGCAGGAGTGGGATCCATCTTTGATAGGTAGGAAGTCCTCAGATATGACCGAAGAGTTATAACTACAACAACTTAGGTGTAGAGCACCTCTTCTGTGGCCTCATTGTCAATCATTCTGGTGATATGTTTATGTGCTCATCCCCATTTTCACTTATCGTTAGAGAGTCTGACATAGTGGAAAAATTGCAAATCTTCCTTTGGAAAGTAAAGTTGTATGAGCGATGCAAACAGAAATTTTTAAACAGAGCGTGCACGAGAAGAAATGGGCTCTTGCATGCGTTTAATAGGCATTCCCTCTTGGGAGCAGGTGCAGAGTTGTGCATGTGTTTTGTTTTTGTTTTTTAAGTGGAGAGGTCTTTCCAAAAATTTGCGAAAATCTTCCACTATACTTTTAAAAATGAGGTGATTTTTAAAAACTGAGCTCTTAAATTAAATAGTGACTGTTATTTTGTTTTTTTTTGTCAGTGATCTTTTTTATGGTCAATGCTGGGAATTGGAGCAGGGGTCTTATAAACTCTGCCTATGTTGTTTTCCAGGTCTAATTAAGGAGCCATTTGATGACATAGAACTTGAGCAGTTTTTACATGGAATAATATAAAATCACAAATCCTATATTTTTTGATCCACCGGGTTTTGTTTGTTTTGGGTTTTTTTTTTTTACATACCTTTAGAAAAGTCAAAAGGATAACTTCTAACTTTTTTTACTACTCACGCAAATAGCACCAGAACTGTGGGTCATGAGCTGGGGTGAAATGTCTGTATTGTTAAGACATATAATCAACAATCTGCATCTAGTGCTGTGTTATCCAAACAGAGCGGGACAAAAACTTTAGTATTATTCTTTTTTAAATAACAAAATTGAATAAAAACATTTTATTGTAGATTATTCATGATATTTTAATTAATCAGAAAACATTTTAATACAATACAATACGACAAATGAATAATCTGTGTTCCAGATAGCATTTTATTATTTAAATTCTTATTTTTTTTTCTTAAGGCCTAGCACCTTTTTTTTTCTTCAATTAAAAGTTTTTAAAAATATATCCAGTTGTATCTGCCGCCTGTTTTTGTGTGCCAGATTTGTACCATCTATGGTCATTGGCCGCTCATATTAATTTTGAGGTCCACTAATATTCCCCATACCACACTGTGGACACATCTTATCTACTGTATACTTCAGCCATGATTTGACAAGTCCAAGTGTTATAGAATAACAGTGATCTATTTTAGTCTGTATACCAGAAAGTACATAAAAGAGTCTGTGCCATATTACACAAATTGGAAGCTAATTAAAGCCCTAAGATTGATTAACAGAATTTGGAAACTACATGTTAATAAAACTAAATCAAGGGTAAATCATGTTCCAGATGTTTTAAAACCTTCAGTGTTACATTTTTATTAAAACAAACTATGGTGTTCAGACATTATAAATGTGTTGATTTTTTTTTTTATTAAACTTTTAGTTTAAAGTAAGCTTTAATACGAACCGAAGCCTTTTATCCACCTACAATGGAAATTTTTTTAATTCCTGCAGAGTTCTCACAGAGTTGGTATCCAAAATGAAAGATATGCAGATGGATAAGACGGAGCTGGGCTGTCTGCGAGCTATCGTTCTATTCAACCCAGGTCAGTTTGGACTGCGCTCCAAATGCAGCACCTTTTTACACCTGCCTTATTATCACCTTAGAACACTGCATTGAACATGTCTCTATGTGTGACTTTCTGTTGTAGATGCAAAAGGTTTGTCAAACCCATCAGAGGTGGAGGCGCTAAGAGAAAAAGTCTACGCTTCGTTGGAGTCGTATACAAAACAAAAGTACCCTGACCAGCCTGGCAGGTGGGAAATGCTATACTCACTGCTCATATTATAACAATAAAGCTGAAAGTTTATCCCTTATGTGGCGAGTTTTTAGCTACTACAGCATAAAAACATTAAATGTTTCGGCCAAAGCAGAGCATGATATTAATTGATTTAGGAGTGTTTCTGTGAACAGTTAGTGATGCAGCATAGAAAGGTATTTGTTTTGTAAAATGTTTTGGTAGAGAAATTATTCCCCTTTCGAGGGACAAAGTGACCTAAAAACTATTCTCATGTTTCTTTTCAACAAGCTGCATTATGACCAAACACTTTAGTTTGTTTTACCGGGGTTTAATCTCATAGATCACATTAAAATAGTGCATAAAAGATGGAAAACTATACATGTTTTTGATCATTTTAAAGTGCAAGTTGCCCCAGAGCTTTACTTCTGCCCATATGTAACATTGAGAAATATTCCGAGGAAGGTGATGCCCTGAGGACTGCAGAACATGCAAAACGACTGAGGCACACTCCTTTTTGATGCATTTCTATTTATTTATATTTTATTCTATTTTCAAAATGAATGCTTTTCTTTCCTATAGATTGTAGGTCAAGTTACTGACACTGAACTAGTGTCAAATTATTATCCTACCACACTGGACAGATGATTTGGACTTGTTTTTATCCAATTTTAATGCAATTACTATTTTTTTAATTAATATGATCAGGAAAATCATGATTTATTTCATTACTTATTCCATTATAAGAAGTCCCCTAGCAAACCACTGTGTGTAGGAGGGGTGTCTCAGCAGAGAGCAGCTGCTCAGGGTGGAGCTTCTCGTCAGTTCTCCCCTGAAGTCACATCCCTGGCTATGCTAATTGTGAGCCGGGCTCACATTCAACACAGTGCAACGACAATGTTTGGGACACAAAGAACCCAAACCAATGACATAATGACAACTTCACATTAGGGCTGAAACAATTAATCGGATTAATCGATTATTGAAATAAACATAAAGTAATTCAGTAGTTTATTAATCGTGAACTGGGGTATAGAGACTCCCCACCGGGCTGCCATTGTGCGGTGCTCGGGAAGCAGTGTTGAGTTAAGGGTCTTGCTCAGGGACCCAGAGTGCAGGCTGTAGGGATCGAACCGGATACGTGCAACCTTCTGAGAGCAATAGCACACTGCTCTAACCACCAGGCCAACACTCCCCCAAATATGTAAATATTTTGCATTTAAGATAAAAAGCAAACCTTTTTAATCTGTTAGTATGCTCTATGCAGAACTCCTCAAGTGGAAAAGTTTTAGTTACACCTGGTTTAATTTCGTGAAAAATCTTCTTTAAGGAACCTTTGGCTATCCCTATTTTTAGTCGCTTAATCGAAAAAATAATCAACAGATGAAACGATTTGCAACATAATCATTAGTTGCAGCCCTATTTCACATTAGCCATTGTGCAGTGTTAGTGCGGACATGCTGATCGCCAAAGTGATTCCACTAAAATGCTGATTGGCGCTGCAACAGTCACCATAAAGCTCCTGAAAAACAGCAAAAGTCCTGACATGGCCTGCAAGCTGAATTCTTGTGGTATTTTGGTGTCTGAATCACAAAACTACGAGAATCCATCTTGCTCAATCTTAAATCGTTCGAGCCAGAACGCAAACAGGTCAGCCAGTCATAATGTAAAGTTCTGGTTTAAGACGGGACATATAGCTTTAACAAAAGCTGCTGTGTTTTTTTTTTTTTAATCTTTTTGGTGCTGCATATTTCATGTTTTGCAAAATCTCTAAAGCTTTTACAGAACAGCTGTATCTCTAGGGAGGTTAAATTAAAGAAATGCATCAACAATTTTAACCTCTTAAGAGCACTGGTTGAACTAGATTTTTTTTCAAATCAAGCTAAGGTTGCTGCAATGTATACCATCTTCCACAGTTCTGTTCTTCTTTGTGTTGATATATGACATAAATCCTAATAAAAATAAAGTTTTTTTCTAAAGTTATGAAGGCCTCAGGGTAATAAAATATCCGCCATGTGTGAGTATACATGTGTAAGTTAAATAAATATATGAATGTGTTTTTAATTTTGTGCAGGTTTGCCAAACTGCTGCTGCGCCTGCCAGCTCTGCGCTCCATTGGTCTCAAGTGTTTGGAGCATCTATTCTTCTTTAAGTTAATCGGAGACACGCCCATCGACACCTTCCTGATGGAGATGCTGGAGGCACCACATCAGATCACATGACACCAGAACCCCCCTTCCCTTCCCCTGTAAATATTCCCTCCTTGTGACCGATGTGAAGATGGAATAATAATAAAAAAAAAGACTTGATTGAAACTGTAAAACAAAGTATTTTCTACCAAGTAAAACAATGCAATTAAATATACCTGTGATATTTTCCAGTGGCTGGGAAAAGTAATCCCATATGCACACGATTCTAAAAGATTTGGTAACACATTTTGTAAATAGATAATTTGTTTTTAATGCAATGCTAATTGCAAAGGAATCTTATTTCATTCTAAGAGAGAGAAAACATTTCATAAAAGAAAACGTTAAATGCTTCCAGCAGAATAAATTTATTTAAACTATAAGTGAAAAACGTGTTGTGTATTTGTTTTCTATTGACTGGTTTGTTCTTCGGTGAGTACATCTTTTGTCCACCAGAGGGCGCCAACAAAGCGCCTCAGTATGTCACACGTGGTGTGCAGATTTGTATCTTTTTCTCTTGCTTAGATGTGTGGATGATGGACAATTTCATTTTAACTTTTTTGTTCGGATTGTGTTTTGCAGTCATATTATATGAGAAGAAAGAAATGAAAAACTTTAGACAAATTGTTTAAAACTGAATCAAGCAATACGAACAAAACATTTTTTGGGAATAAAAATTAAGATAACCAATTATGGTTGGAACTTGGGCTCTAAAGATGGATGCAACAGGGAGGTGGGACCAAAAGTGTTTTATTGTATTATTATATTCTCACAGTGAAATTTCACAAGCATCCAACCATTCAATGGAGTCTTTTTTTATCAGGTAATAAATATTTATTTATTTATTTTTTGCTATATTACCAATTGCACATTTGTCTATACCTGTGACAGAAACCTTACAATACGTACTTGTTTACCTTTCAAGTGAATATATTTTATTTGAATATGTTTAGTGATTCATAACCTTATCTCCCAGGGTAATAAATATGACATTAAAAGCTTCATTGTTCACTGTTGGAGAGCTGTATCAGTCCCAAATCTCTATTGCATTCATCAGAGAGGGTGTGTCAAATTCATTTTTACATTGCATAACTTAAGCTTCAACAGATCTTTGAAAGGGACAATTCAACTGTATAAACAAAATTTTTGTTTTCATATTTTTCTTTGTAAAGAGGACACTGATATGGTAACTTTACCCCTATTTATTTAGCAGTATTAGCCACTTCTTACACTTTAAGACCAAAGGCTTCTATTTTAGAGATAGCCGATAGAGGTTTCAATAAAGCCTGTTTCTGATGTTGATTGTTTTGATTCAAATACAACCAATCACCGAAATGTGCTGCATTATTTTTTGTCAATTCTTAAAGCCAATATTGATTTTTTTCTTCTTCCATTTACATGATTAAAAATGACATTGAATAGATGTTACATAACCTTAATTTAAACAAAGAGCAAACATTTTTCAGCTAATCAAACAAAATGAAAACAGAATGCAAATGGAGGGGACATGAAAACATGCACTTCCCATGATCTTAAGACATGTTTGCTGAATGCACTAATATGTGAACAGGGTGCATTGCATTTTCTGATGCAGATACATGAAGAAAAATGTTTAAATTTTCCAAACATATAGGTCTGTCAGACTATTTCTATTCTATTTTAAGACTTCATAACTTTTCTGGCCCTTAAGGGATTGATGAATTGTCATGAGGGACTTATTGGCCAGAGTATCACAGTACAGTATATCTAAAAGCCAATAGCTGTTTTTCAGGGTGTCAGGAGAAACAAACAAAAACAAAACAAATATCTCAAAAGGGAATGTGAATTTTGCAGATATGTTTGGATTTAGACTGGTTTTGGGGAGGGATCCCGCACCCACTGTTTAATGTAAAGCTGTGGGCAAATCATTAAACAATAAATGTCTTTGTCCTTTTTAAAAAGGGTCTTAATGAATATGACATTGCTTCTAAAAACCTCTGTGTTCATCTAAAACCATGACCCTAAATGGTAAGACAAACATTTTGTTATTTTAACACCGTTGTTGTTTCACCTAACCTTTAATTATGCAAAGCATGCACCTAAAGCTCACAGTTTTTATATTTCATTAAATTCATTTTAAAATTGAGGGATTGATTGGAGATTTGCATGGATTATTTGTAGACGGTTGTGTTTGTTTATTAAAAAACAACAACCCCCCCCCGACATTTTAAAGCACTTTACCAGGTAATGGCCAGAATGCCTGCCCTGGAAATGTTAAATTACTTTTTTTTTTTTTTTTAAGCAATGCACATGTGCAAAATAATACTGGAGCTCCAGGCTATATGCCAATATTTTGGCTGATCATTGAATCAAAGATGTTGAACTTAATGAGATTATAACACTGTCTATCTG